TTTATTACACATTTTTTAATTTTATTTTTTTTATTTATTTTTAACATTTTCGCACACATTATTGACATTTTCACATACATATTTTTTTATTAACACACTTCCGATTTACTATTTTGCATTATTTTTTCCATAACCGCGCACAATATACAATTTTTCAAACTTTATGTTCAAACCTGCATAAACATGATGTGCTCTTTACCCGTTATTTTCACTGCAGTTTCTTTACGTGTAATAAAAAGTTTTATTGTTATTGTTTATACAAAATTCTGTTTATTTCCTTCACTCTTATCACTTTTATCAATAGTTTACTCTTTATTTTACACAATTGTGGTATTTTTAAGTATTTTGCCTCTTTTCGAATTAATTATTTCGCCTTTGCTTAAAAACAAGAGTTCGTCACTTTAAACTTCGGTTTTTGCTTTACTCCATATAAAACTACGAACTCGGTATGTTCAAACTTGCATAAACATGAAATGCATTTTCCCGTTGTTTTCACTGCAGTCTATCACCGCATCTGTTATAACTATTTATGCAGAATTCTGTTAATTTTCTTCACAACTTTTACATTTATCAATAGTTTAAGCTTTATTTTACACAATTGTGATATTTTTAAGTATTTTCTGTATATTCCAATTAATTATTTGGTCTATACTTGTAAGCAAGTGTTCACCGCTTTAAGCTTCGCTTTCTGCACACACACAAGGTCACTTTCAAACTGAGCCTTGCCACATCAACACACTGAAAGAAATAATGACACAAATTTAAAATGTAAATCTATTACAAATTTTTCGAATTATGTTATGGTTTATTGTAGATATATAATGAAATGTTGTATTTTCATTGCATACTTTCACTGGAAGTAATGAGAAAAAAGAAAACGGTAGAAGTCCATGTCAGTACAGGTGGACTTGTACCGTTCTTTCTTCTCACTGCTGCCGGCGCATAAACTAAAATATTTAACTAAGCTAGTTTAAGTAGTTAAGATATGCTATAAGTTTTATAATAGCGAATTTGTGCATAACACACTAACAAACAAACAAACTTACAAAGAGTTTCGTGTTACTGTAGATATTCATACATTGTAGACAGACTTAAACTGAAAAAAATAGCAGGAAATTTTAAAACAAAAATCTAGTGAATTTTCTGCATATATTAAAGCGTGTGTGTATGTATGTATTGAACCTTTATATACAACTTACTATTGCCTTTTTCCGAAAACTTAAAAAAAAATCTAGCATAGCATGTGTTTAACACACTAAAAAATCTAATGTATAGAAATATTACTAACAAAACACTTTTTACAGCAAGTTTGTAAAATTAAAAAAAATAAAATAACTTTATAAGAAAATCTAAATTGTAGCGAAATTGTAAAAAATATATATACAACTGTACAACTTACACAAATATATTGACTATATAGTTATAGTGTGCTATTCAACGAATTAGAACTTGTAATTTTTTTAAAACTATGAAAGAAAAATTTTTCGAAATTAGAAAAGTTGCAACAAAGAAAATTTTGTGCAGAAAAATTGCAAATTTTTGCCTAAAAAATAACTGTCAATTTCATGTTTTTATGCTTTTCTCTCATAAAAAACAAAAAAACAAAATTTAAAAACAAAAATTTTAGAAAAAAATAAAAATTTTCAAAATTTCAAATTTTTTTAA